CGGGGGCGGCGGCGGGGGGGCGCGGGGCGGCGGGCGGCGCGGCCGAGCTGCAGCCCGAGCTGGCGGTGGCCGAGCACGTGCGCTACGAGAGCACGGGGCCGGCGCTGTGCACCGTGGTCTTCCTGCTCGTCTACTTCTTCGGCATGGCCAGCTCCATCTGGTGGGTCATCCTCTCCCTCACCTGGTTCCTGGCCGCCGGCATGAAGTGGGGTAACGAGGCCATCGCCGGCTACGCGCAGTACTTCCACCTGGCCGCCTGGCTGCTCCCCAGCGTCAAGTCCATCGCCGTGCTGGCGCTCAGCTCCGTGGACGGCGACCCGGTGGCCGGCATCTGCTACGTGGGCAACCAGAGCCTGGAGAACCTGCGGGGCTTCGTGCTGGCACCGCTGCTCATCTACCTGGCCATTGGCTCCATGTTTCTACTCGCCGGCTTCGTCTCGCTCTTCCGCATCCGCAGTGTCATCAAGCAGCAGGGCGGCCCCACCAAGACCCACAAGCTGGAGAAGTTGATGATACGCCTGGGCCTCTTCACCGTGCTTTACACCGTGCCGGCCGCCAGCGTGGTCGCCTGCCTCTTTTACGAGCAGCACAACCGACCCCGCTGGGAGGCTACGCACAACTGCCCCTGTCTGCGTGACCAGCAGCCCGACCAGGCCCGCCGACCCGACTATGCCGTCTTCATGCTCAAGTACTTCATGTGCCTGGTCGTGGGCATCACTTCCGGCGTCTGGGTCTGGTCCGGCAAGACCCTCGAGTCCTGGAGGGCCCTCTGCACCCGCTGCTGCTGGGCCAGCAAAGGTGCTGCCGTGGCCGGGGTGGCCGGAGCAGGAGCGGGCGGGCAGGCTGCCATCGCTGCTGCTGGGGGACTTGGGGCCGGTGGAGGCGGCTCCCTGTATAGCGATGTAAGCACCGGCCTGACGTGGAGATCTGGCACTGCCAGCTCCGTCTCCTACCCCAAGCAGATGCCTCTGTCTCAAGTGTGAGGAGCGGGAAAAGAGGCCATAGGTTAGGGAATGAGGGACACTGGCCTGCCTGAAATGCCCCCTCACTGTTTGGTGCCATTAATGAACCACTAATGGTCCTTATTAGCCACAGCTTGTATAGAACAATGCAGCTGGCAGAGGCCCCAGGCTCCAGCCCCCTCCTCCTTCCCCTCCATTCATATGCAGGGAGCATGTACTTCAAGGAGCCAGCATATTATTTTGCTGGCAGAGGAGGGCAGGGGCTCACCCGTGTCTTGCAGAGGGCAAGGCAGAGCGGCTCCTGATTTACTCTGGACTATCAGCAGTTCGTGGGAGGGAGAGGATTCCTCCTCCATCCCAAAGCGGGAGTCTGCTGGAACTACAGGTTTTTGGGATATCAATGACCAGGCAAATGCCTTATAACACAGACTGAATCAAAACATGTCTTAATTATACACCCCAGCTAAATACGGGTTTCCTACATTAAAGGATGTATTTATATAATTATTTGTTACCTTGTACAGATGTGTAAAATATGTATATATCCAAAGCTATACAGTCTGTAAATTTTTTTTGTAAAAAAGTTTAGAGGCTACCCCTGTAAGAGCAAATATGAGTATTCTATTTTGTCAATAAAATGACTTTTGATAAATGACTTCTTCAAGCTTTTCCCCTACTCCTGCTCTGGTTATTGCAGCAACTGTGTCCGTGGGTGGTTCTCGCCACTTGGGTGAAGGGGGCTGAAGAGGGAGCTCCTCTAGCCCTTCTAAGTAATAGGTATCCAGCTGCCTTAAGGGAGTGGTATATCCCAGCATAAGAAAAAACAAGTGATTCTAAAATAAACGTTTGCCAGAACCAGGGGGTACCTCACCACAATTCCCTGGTTTTCAACAATGACAGTGTCTTCAAACCAAACCTGTTTCAAAGTCCTTACATGGCTTGAGTAGCCTTGCAGAATGGGTGTTATTTGAAGAATGTGGACACGCACCTCTCATATCTGTCTGTGCTTTTGTAAGCACCTGCCTTTGCAGGGATGCACACTTATGTGTACAAGGTTCATGTTTTAAATTCATCCATCACATACAGCAGAACAGTGACTTGAAATTTGTTAGATCTCCCTCCTTAACAGATTAAACTAACATCTTAACCTTTCATACTTAACTTTTGTATATCAAATATGGTCCTTTTTCAAGAGAAAAGGCATTGTTCTTCTGTCAGGACTAAGCTAATTTATTTGAGCAGAAGGCTGTTGAATTAACAGAAGAATGCTTTGGCAATTGTTGAACTTTTTACCTGTCTGCCCAGTGGCTCAGAACATCATTCCTTTAAGAGGAGCTAAATGAATAGGGTTAATCTGTAGGGAACTTGGTTTCTTTTGAGTTTGGGAAAACTTTGATCTTTTCTCTTCACCAAACGTGATGTATAGTCTGAAGTTTCTTTCCCTGCTGCCTGGTTCCTCTTGTTGCAGACCAATTGGCCACCATGGAGCCTTAAAGTTCTTCAATTAAAGGGACATGGGACTTTTTTTTTTTTTTTTTACTTTATTTTAAGAGGAAGACTTGTAACAGTTAGTGAACACCAGAGGGAAAAGGGAGAACAGCCTTTTAAACAGCTTTTCCCTGCATTGTTAGCCAGACTGCAGGCAGCAAGGCATGGCTTGGAGCATTATAGAAAAGAGCTATGAATGCCCTACAGGTGGTCTGCTCACATAATCTCCCCAATTTAAAACATTTTCCTTTACAGGACAATTGCATTACAAAACTCCCTTCTCTTTTGCTCCTAATTGAACCAAAGAACAACTGCAAGATTTTCTTTAAAAACAGAGTGTCTTTCAAAAGGAAAAAAAAAAATCTAAATCCTAATTTCTTTTCTAAAATAAGATCACCGAGATTGCAAAGAGTAAAAAACCACATTAGGCATTTTTCTGTTCCAGATATTTTTATGCCTTCTGCTTATATTCTGTCAAATTAGCAATAATTTAAAAGCAATTGGTTAGGTTGTGCGTTAGCAGTGAAAAGATAGCCCCAGGTCCCTTATTAACCTGTCAATCATGGTAAGAGATGGGCAGCTACCCTGCTAATGACACAGATATCAATCATTATTTGTGGGAAAAACCTTGTTCCATTGAGCACTGACTTGATTATTTGGTGTCCCTTTCAAAGTTCCCATGGCTTAATAGAGATTTCCACTTCTACAAAGTTACCCGGATCATGGAAAGGAAGAAGTGAGGATGTCCATCTTTGACTCTGGGGAGAGAAAAAATTTAAATTCTTGATTGTAAAGGATGTTCCACTGGGATTTGTGCTCGCTGCCTGTGTATATACTAATCAATCAGAATATTGTCCTGCGTTGCTTAAACAGGCCTGTTTACCTTAGTATTTTCCTTTAGGTGAGCTACATTGTGCTGCTGGAACCTTCTTTTATCAGTTGTTACAACATTTAAAGCAAGGCTGTCCCACCGCTGTCAGTGAGGCTACAGTAACAGTTTTCTTTCTGCTGGTGAATCCCATGCAGGTAGCAGGGAAGGGGAGCTGAAACTATTTGGTGGGAGTTTTTTTAGATAAGTCTCTTGCAGACTGCTGGGATGTGCTGCTGGTGCTGAGATTAAAACATTTCTCAGAAACCGATAGGAAGTAGCTATGTAGCTCAGCCTACTCTGGAATCAGCAAAGAGGTGCTGCAGGTGAACACAGCCAGGGAAGCAGTCTCAGAACTAGTTAGGTTACCAAGATGCCTACCGGGGCACTAATGAGTGCCCAAGCACTGACTGAGCAATAACACAAAGGTTAAACAAAGATGAGATAGAATTTAACTTGCTGGGAGCCCAAACATGTGGAAACAGTGCTGGAGAAGAAATTTTTGTGAATCAATGTAGATTTTATGTTTAAGAGAGGAGGAAAAAAAGGCACCTAAGTATACAAGATACATAAATCCACAACTACACTGATGCATGCACTGAGTTGCATACTAATTTACAAGGTCTGATGATAAACCTGCCTTCTCCCTTGAACTGCCATAGAACTACTAACAATAATCCCAGCAGATAGTGAGCCAAGTACTTCTCACAGAGCAGAAGGGCTCCAGGCACCCCAGTACTGGCTCACCTGTGCACAAAAGCAGCACCCACACCAGCCCACGAGAGCCTCCCAGTCATCACTGGTGTGGCTCCATAGCACAACCTGAACAGCAGCGACTGGAGGACTGGGTAGGGGGCAACTGAGAACCTCCCACAGCTCACAGAAAGGTTTAACTGCTTCATTCAGGAGAGTGACTAAGCTAGCAGAGAAACATGGGTTGGGTTTTTTTTCTTCTCTATTAAGCAGCATACCTTTTGAACGTTCCTTTTCTTTCCAGGACCCTTCCCTGCTTTACATGTTCCTGCTCCAAAAGGAAATCCTATGGATTAGCCTCCTCCTGCTGTAATGACTGAATAATCCCAAAGGAACTAGCCCAGCTGCCTGTGGGCTTTTTAAAGAGGCAGAGCTGCCCAGGTGTGCTGCAGAGCACTTGGGAGGGACACCTCCCCTGGAGCTAATGGAAGTGGCTTGCAACCTGCTCCAAAACTTCCCCGGTTCTGGGAAAACTTTTTTGAAGCTTTGATAAGCAATTGTCACAAAAAGGAATAGACTTTGGACAGGGAAATTCTTATAAATTAAAATAATGTGATTGTGGCTAAGCATTCTGGGAAATATTTTATAGTTCCTGCAATAAAAGGCCTATGAAGGCTGAGACTGGTACACAAAGGGTCTTTTTTTTTTTTTTTTTTTTTTTTTTTTTTTTTTTTTTTTTTTTTT